ACGCTATGTAGGCATAACGAATAGTCAGTAGATAGAATTTTGACGTGTCGCCCCAGCTCACCTGGAGGACAATAATCCCAAGTTGTCATGAAGATGCGCGTCGACGTAGTTCATGCCCGCGAATGTCGTTGCAGTGCTACCAGTTGATGTTCCAGGTGCCAGCACTCGTTCTGGCCAAAATGATCAGAAGCTTTCCTTAACATGTTGATCAGAAGTTTAACCCAATACGCACCACCAACCCAAGGAAAAAGAGCGTACGTGTTGGGTCGTGTTAGGTGAAAATCCAGGAAGGAGCCAAGACCTAGTATAATAGGTTAGCACATACACAACAAAGCCAGTAACGAGGCTTACTTTCAAAGCAAACCGGTAGAACGTATTGTGAGGTCGCCCCGTTCCCGTTCCTTCGAGGCATTGAAATCTAACCACTAGGTGTGTTTCTGGAACGTGACACGACGAACTTCCACGGCGCAGTACGGAGAATGTGCTTCGCGACAAGATCAGTCGCGTTGGCGTTGGCATTTCTCGAAAGGCAAGCGTCGATTGTAGATGACGAGGCTCATGTCGACCTTTCCCTGAGGGATTCTGCAAAACGTAGGCCCGAGCGCGGACGTTCCGCGAAATGGGTGATTCCCTGTGCCGAGGGAGCTTCGCATCCTCTGTAGTAAAGGGTTGACATTCATGACAGTCGTGAGAGGCGCCCCGCACTCTTCCACAGAATAGCAATAGTGACCTTGGTTCGCCAAAGTGTCACACTAAACTCTGGATAAGTACCTTCGCCAGTAGAATGAGCATGGCGGAACTCACAATCTCGGTAAGAGCCATCCCAAGGTTTCGTAAATCCATTAGCCTCCCCTTGATGCCCTTCGGCTCCTCTTGAACGAGGTAGTGAAACCTCAGCTACTGGCATCCAGTTAATACTTGCGAATCTTCGTAATAAAGATCAATCTGATGAGTTGGTTGAAGAAAACCCGAAGAAGACCCACCTCATAAAGCCTCACGGGAATAGGTAGTCAATTTGAGTGTAGCTCAAGATTTGCGTAGTCAATGATCACGGCGTCGCTTGGGTTTCTAACGAGCCAAAACCGAGCTTCGTCAAACATCGCAACCTCTCCCAGACCTCTCCGATTGAACCTAAGCTGTTGAAGTTTAACGTTAGTGGCCCACTTATTGAGAGAATATCGTTGAAAAGCGTACGGGGATGGAATGAATAAAACGGAATTTCCCTCTCAGTGGGACTAAGTAGCCAGCCCAATTATCCCCCCGTCTCACATTTCCATAAAGGGAAATTATGACAAATCAGGCCTCTTGTGGGGGGATATATTCCACAACAAACCCTAGACATATATGCCGGTTTAGTGTAGTGGTTGTTGTCACTGTGTTAGTGATGCTTACGAAAGGTTTGGGGTTCGACTCTGGACGCTCCACATCTTTTTATTATTAGAATAATTACCTAACTGGTTAGGTTAGGAGGTTAGGGTTTTTCTCTTCGCGCGGTAGCGCGCTTAGGAGGTTAGGAGGTTAGCGCTTAGGGTTTATTAATGGTTAGGGTTGAGGATATTTTTTTCCCCGCGCGGTAGCGCGTTCTTGGTTCTTGGTTAGGAGGTTAGGAGGTTAGCGGTTAGGGTTTATTAATGGTTAGGGTTGGGGATATTTTTTTCCCCGCGCGGTAGCGCGTTCTTGGTTAGAAGGTTAGGAGGTTAGTGGTTAGTGGTTAGGTTAGGAGGTTAGGGTAGGTTAGGTGCTCGAGAACGCGCGGTAGCGCGCTCTCGAGCCGACTTAGGGCAATGGCACATTGCCCTAAGTCGTATAATTACCATATATGGAGTGCCGGTGATTGCCAGCACATCACATGTGTGAGACGGGGGGAGAGTTAGGACCGTTGGACTAAGTACCGGGCGAAATATTGCTGACTCCGATCATGATGAGAGGAAAGGTCCTTTCCTCTCAACGCCTTGATCGGCGAGCATGCGCAATACCGTCTTGCTGAAATTCCACGTTCACGGCGAAGAAGGCAACGTTTGGACCTATGGTGGTAGTGAACAGGTGAATGTAGACTACTACTAGACAACTCAATCAACAAAACAATTACGACTGATTCCTCCTTATCATCCACTCCTCGTCTAACGTGGCCTTGAGTTGCACCACAAACAGAAAACCTTGTGACAAAGGTTCGTCTCTCGAATGTTGAGCTTCCTTCTTACAATGAAAAATTGCCACCGTCAGAAGTGCATAATGATCAAAGGCCTTTTCCAGCTAACGAGGTATCGATAGACCAGAATTCAAAACGCTCCGCTTAGTGACTTTGTTTACTTGTGGAGTCTCAGGGTACGTGCAAACAACCTAACCAGGAATTTATGACTATATACGCAACAGCAGGAAGGGGCGGGAAGGCAATGTCCGCCAATTGGCTGTGGGAAGTTGTTTGGCCAGCTCCAAAAGTAAATAAAGTCACTGAGCGGAGCGTTTGGAGTTCTGGTCTATCGATACCTCGTTAGCTGTCACCGGCCACCACTCTGGAAACACACACAAGTGTTCGTACACAACCAGTACGTCGGTGTAAACCAGAACTCGTTGAAGCACCATGCGGCGCACCCCCGCCATAATTGCGAGGCTTCGACCCTCCTTCCCACTCCCTCGACCCTTCAGCTTCAGATCCTAATCCCACCATCCGAGTTTACATGGCCGACCTGACCAGCATCCCTGCGTGCAGACAACCTCCTCAAACAGCTGCATGTTGTCGAAGCAGGGGCGGTTGAAACCTCACTGAAATCTCGACAAGGGTGTTTCGATTTGATTCCCATATTATGACTGGCACTTGGCCCTTCCTCAGCAAAGTAATCCTCCAACGTTTTCCTCTGGTTTTCCTTCCGCCTCAATCCCCCATTCCATTTCGAATCCCGCGTCTTCCACCTCAATTGCCTCTTCCCCCATTTCGAATTCTATCAACCCTCCATCCAGACCCTCATCCAAACTTCCATGTACGCCTTGATCAACACAAACTCTGCCTCGTCATTTCCGCGTGATCGCTACGCAAAGTCCTTCCTCCACTACTAGAATCGACGTGTTCGATGATGGGTGGGCGCAGCGCGCGGCTGAGTTGTGGGCCTGAATGACGTGAAAGGTAGTTGAGATACAAGAAGGTTGGACTTGGGATACAACCTCGATTCCACGCAATACGCACATAATCTCTCGGAATCGGGAATCATCGTTTGTTGTACCTCTCAAGCCCAATCTCAGACGGCGGATGCGAACGAGAGGGAGGGATGTTTACGCGGAGCATGTTGATCCGTTAAACCGTTGCAGGAGTGTATCGTGCATAGTAGGGGTGTTGCTCCCTCTTTGGACTCTTGGACGTCGACTTCATCTTCGTGCCATTCACTCCTGCTACCGTGGCGTGGCCTTGTCACTTCGTCGAGTTCAATTTTGGATTATTCTGAAAAACTGAAACCAGGATGGCCGACTACGCCCACAAATCAGCCAACACCGGCTCCATCTACCTCTCCGCCATCTCTGAATCCGACCTCTACTGCCGCTACGTCCCAGGCCTCGTCGGCGATCGCCTATTTCGCATCTTTTCGGTCTCAAGAAGGAAGGCCCCTGGCTAGGTTCTCAGCTCCTACTCTCAAATTCCATGGGCCTCCATGACTTTCGTGAAGATGTCGATCAGCAACGGA